ACCCCCTCCGTTCGCCCCCCCCCCCCCCCCCGACTGTCGGCTGACAGTGCCCCAGGTCTGTGCCTGCTCCACATGTCCATTTCCTGCAGCTTGGTTGGAGATGAACCCCAGCTGAATGGCACCTGGCTCTTCTGCTGTGGGAGGAGGGGAAGAAGGAGAGATTCTGCCCTTCATCAGCTTGTGTTGCAAACATGCTTGAGGGAGGAAACTCTCTGGGGGTTCCTCCTTGCTGCACCCTATTGGAGTCCAGGGGTGGGCAATACAACGGCGGTGGTTCGCCACAGGTAGACCCTGGAGGGCTGCTGCTATATTTACCTGCGCCCCTGCAGGAAGCAGCTATCGCAGCTCCCGTTCCTGGCCAGTCTGAGCGGAGGGAAGCAGTGTGGTCCACAGCCAGTGGGAGCTGCCATCACCGAGACCTACGGAGGTGCAGGCAAACATAGTGGCAGCAGCCCGACCAGATCTAGCCTGCGGGCCAGTATGTGCCCACCTGCTGTAGTTGATGCTGGACTGTGTGGGTGTATGAGTGACACATGCCCTCTCGAGGAGTCGGCTGCCCCCGCATCATCGTAAAATCATCTTTGATCATATGAACTTCAAGTGGGCTCCATTCCTTCCAGCTGTGATGTGGCTTCAACACAGCCCGCTAGTGTGGCCGGTCCCAGCTCCTCCAGAGCGTGTGCTGGCCCAGCCTCCTCGCAGCACAGAGCTGTGGAGAGAAGGCTGAGGGGTGCCTGCACGTGCTTGCTACTCTCTGAGCAAGACGCGAGTGATGGCACTGCCGCCGCCGCTCTTGCAGACAGCCGGGAAAGCGGGGCGCACTGCCTCCGAAGAGGAGCGGAGGAAGGTCTGGAAGGGAAGACTGGTAGAGCAGGAGCTCGTTGTCCCTCTCTCGTGCAGTTTTAGTGGCATTAAAAGGCGGAAGGTTCAAAACGAAGAAAAGGAAAATACCTTTCCACGGGCTGGAGTCGGCCAGGGGGACTTGCTGCCGCGGGATCAGAGCCTGGCCCCGTGACTTGCGAGTATCCAGACTTCGACTAGTGCTTGGTGGCGACGGCTGGAAGGCACTTGCACCCCCTGCCTCAAGGCTGCCTCTTCGGGGGTAGAGCGCCGCTTTGTCCTACGCCTGCTCTGGGGGCTTCTTGCCCCGTCCAAGAGAAGATGCTGCACTGGGCAGTTGGTCCAGCTGGACTCTTCCCGGGATCCCTCTCCTTGTGGGTTCTCCCACCTGTCCTGTCGTGGTGGTGGTTGTCCTTGCTTAGCACAGACGTGTGTGTTTCCCTCTCCGCTTCTCCTCGGCCCTTGATCATGCTTGTTCTGCCCTTTGGCTTCAGCTTTCAATCCCCCTTGTAAAGAGGAGCCCAGATGTGATTTCATTTCAGCAGAGGTCACACAGATTGGTGCATCCTTGCGGTCTAGCATGCTCCATGCCTGTTTCAGCGGAGCTCTTCCAGCGACTAGCGTAAGCTTTTCCGTGTTGGTTTGTTCTATCTTCAGTCGGAACTCCCCCATGCTAAGCCCTACCAGAAGGGCTCTTCCTGCAGAAACCCAGCACTTTGCACAGCTGGGACCCAGAGATGCTCCCTTAGGTTCAGAGAAGGGCAACTAAAATGATGAGGGGTTTGGAATGAGTCCCATGTGAGGAGAGACTGGGACTTTCCAGCTTGGAAAGAGGAGACTGAGGGGGTTAGGAGAGAGGTCTATAAAATCACAAGTGGTGTGGGGAAAGTGAATAAGGAAAAGTGATTTACTTGTTCCCATAATACAAGAACTAGGGGCCACCAAATGAAATTAATGGGCAGCAGGTTTAAAACAAATAAAAAAAGTTCTTCGCACAGCGCATAGTCAACCTGTGGAACTCCTTGCCAGAGGAGGCTGTGAAGGCTAGGACTGTAACAGGGTTTATCAGAGAGCTAGCTAGATTCATAGGTCCAGCAATGGCGATTAGCCAGGATGGGTAGGAATGGTGTCCCTGGCCTCTGTTTCTCTGGAGGTGGGTGACGGGAGGGATCGCTTCTCTCCCGGTGGTTTAGGACTTCCAGCTCTTGGGAATAATCCGTCTCCATGGTGTGGGTTGCATAGATCGAAGGGGGTTCCTACAGCTGCTGGCGGCGAGATGGCCTGGCTGGGAGGAATAGTGACATGGGGCGCTGGCTCTGGTAAATACCGAAGGGGCGGGCAGGGCTCCCGTCCCACTGCGCTCCGAATGGAAGCCGAGTTCCTCTGCATGTCTGCTGACTGCGCGCTCCCCGGGCAGTGCCTCCTGCCGCAGGGCGGCCCTTCTCCAGGCAGTGGAGTGAGCCGGTCGGCTCCGGGTCCGTCCGAGCTTTCCAGGGGCTGCTGCGCAGGGCGTGTCCCGCAGTGTGACAGGCCTTTCTGCCTTTCTCCTTCCCAGGTGTCTGCTGCCTCTCAATGGATCCCGGTGACTTCCCCGGATCCTTGGACCCCCTTTCCCTGCCTGAGAAGCCACTCGGTGATCTCCCTGCAGACATGGACTTCGGAGAAGATCTGCTGGGCTCCCAGGCAGCTTCTACCCCGCAAGTGCCAGTTCCCCAGCCCCCTGAGAGGGAATGGGGTCCGAGCAAGCCGGTGGCTGCAGACGGGGGCTTGGACCTTCTGGGGAAAGCAGACAGTTTAGCTGGTCTCAGCAAATCAAACAATCTTGATCTAGATAAATCCAGTGTCCTGGGTGTTCTGGAGAAACCTGGTGTTCTAGAGGACTTAGATGAAGCCACTGACTTGATGGTTCTAGATAAACCAGGGGGGTTGGAGGGTCTGTACAAGGCCCATTCTTCCCAGGACTTGGCGGACGGGCACGGGGACTCCTCTGAGCTGGACAGGGAAGACCTTTTGGCAGAAGCGTGGAAAGAAGAGGAAGATAAACCCAAATACGACTCCGGAGACCCAAAAGATGATTGTGCTCCTGCCACTCCCACGCTTTGTGATGGCAACAGCCTGGAGTCCCCCCGGCAGCCTGTTTCTGGGGCAGGGGAGCTGAGCCGCGATGCACCCGCAGAAGATTTCACACCACTCGCAAGTTCGCCAGTGGGTCTGCCCCAGCCCAGCCTTAAGCAGGCAAAGAAGACCAGGTTGAAGGCCCCAAGGAAAAGCTCCCCTGTGCAAAAAGAGGAGTCAGCAGCAGAAGAGGGGCTAGAACAGCCCTCTGCCCTGCCCCCGGAGCACGCTGCTGAAGGCCAGGCCGAGGAGGGGGACGAGGATGGCAGGAACGCCCTCAGGCAAGAGAGCGGTGGGCCGCAAGCACAGGAAGTCGCACAGTCAACCTCCCCAGGTGGGTACTGGCTGCACCGGTGCGGAGCGGCGGGGGCCTGGGCAGCTGTAGCCTTAGCCAGGGCGCTCTCTGCCTGCTGATGGGGCAGGCGTGGGAGGGAATTGCTTGGGCAGTGCAAGTGACCACCGTTGGCAGGAGGGGCTGAGCAGGGAGAGGGGCCTGCACCCACCCCTCCCTTCCCAGACAGTCGTATTTACAGAGTCCGTCGCCAGCTTGGCTTCAAGGACGGAGACGTGAGAGCTGCCGCTGCCCCTGCTCTGCGTCCGGCCTGCTCCCTGCGCCCCCACGCGTGGGTCTCCCGTCACGTGGCTCTGCAGTCCCCAGCCTGGCGGGGGTTGGAGCCCTGCCGCTGTGGTCTGAGCCCTGGAGAGAAGGGGCGGCAGCTCAGGTGTGCTGTTTTCCCTTGCAGGAGACGCCCTGGCCGGGAAGGGGAGTGAGCAGCCAGCTGAGAAGGTGAGGCCGGGAAGGAGTGTGCATGTCTCGGGCTGCCGCCTTCTCTGTGCTGGGCAGGTGGCTTCAGTCTGCTCCCTGCCGCTGCCCAGGCCAGGGCCCCTCCCCCATAAACCACCTGTCAACCCCACAGGGCCCCTGCTAGGCGCAGCAAAGCCCGAGGGACTGGGGCAGAGGGGGTGGGAGGAAGAGCCTGGAGCGGGGCCTGGCCGTGGCCAAGGCTTTCGGGCCCTAGGCCCCTGGACGGCGGCTGGGCTGAATATTCTCTGTGTGTCTTCCAGGAGCAGAAGAGAAGCGAACGAGCCAGGAGGTCGGAGGCAGCCAGGCCTGAAACCGTGAACTCTTCCGAGAGCAGTAAGTCCCCTGGGCTGGCCGCCAGGAAGGGGACCTGTGAGCACGGCCCTGGGAGGCCCCTGCCAGCCAGGAGCAGGGTCCCCTGGGCAGCTCTGTCCCTTCCCCCACCCACCGGGCGTCAGCGCGACTTCATTGCAGGGCTTCCCTGGGGCAATCGTCCGGTTCTGCCTCTGGGATGCACAGGGCCTGCGGCGCCTTCCTCTGGGCTGCCGAGGAGCCGGGGCCCGTGCGTGCCAGCTGAGCCCCCCGCTCCCTTCCCTTGTGCTGGGCCCACGGCGCAGACAGCAGTGCCCAAGCCGGGGGGCTCGCCAGCACATTTGGGTGTTTCAAGGTCCCTGGCTCCTCCCCCCGTTCCCCCGGTCTGGACACAGCCCCTCAGGGAATCTCTCTCCCTTTCCCCGCCCGCAGTCCCGGTCTCTGACGAGGACTCAGACGCTATGGTGGACGATCCCAACGACGAGGACTTTGTTCCCTTCCGTACCCGGCGCTCGACCCGCATGTCCTTGCGCACACAGATGGCTCAGCGGGCTGCTCGCTCCACCGTCACCAAGATGACTTGTGCCAATTGCCGGACTCCCCTGCAGAAGGGCCAGACAGCCTACCAGCGCAAGGGGCTCCCGCAGCTCTTCTGCTCCAGCTCCTGCCTCACCACCTTCTCCAAGAAGCCAGCCGGCAAGAAGATCTGCACCTTCTGTAAAAAGTGTGTGCCCCCCCCCGCCGCCTGGCAAGGCACCCGGGCCCCTTGCCCACCCTCATACTCTTCCCAAGCCAGCCCCTGCCCCCACTGACCGGTCCCTCCCTGTCCCCAGGGAGATCTGGAACACCAAGGACTCGGTTGTGGCCCAGATTGGCTCGGGCGGCTCTTTCCACGAGTTCTGCACCTCTGTGTGCCTCTCCCTCTACGAGGCGCAGCAGCAGCGACCAGCCCCGCAGCCTGCGGAGGCCTCTGACACCAGCCGTTGCAGTGTCTGTCACAAGCCTGGGGAGGTAAGCTGAGCCCAGGGGCTCCAGCGCTCAGTCCTGGCGCTGGCGTTGGAGGTGACGCAGCGCCCGCGAGCTGCTCGTCCCGTGCTAGGGCTTGGCCGAGCCTGTCCGCGCCGGCGTCAGACTGGGCCTTGTTTTCAGTCTTCCTTGCGCCTGGTTCCCCCGCCAGGCGTGGAGACGCAGCGTTTGCTCTCTCCTGGGCCCCAGGCTGCCCCTTGCAGCTCCCCGTCCCACTTGCTCTGTTGCCCTGATGGAGGAGCAGCCTGCCCCGTGGAGGCGCAGCGTTTGCTCTCTCCTGGGCCCCAGGCTGCCCCTTGCAGCTCCCCGTCCCACTTGCTCTGTTGCCCTGATGGAGGAGCAGCCTGCCCAGCGGCGAGAGCCCCTCCTGGCCAGAGGCCCAGGCCAGCCGGGGACCCGCCCTGCCCGTGCTTGCCCTGAGGGAGCCGGTGCCGGTGTGTGTGCAGATCCAGCACGAGGTGAGCAACGGGAACGTGGTGCACCGGCTCTGCAGCGACGCCTGCTTCACCAAGTTCCGCGCCACCAAGGGGCTGAAAACCAACTGCTGTGACAACTGCGGCCTCTACATCTACAACAAGGGGCTGCCCCTGGAGTACCTCTTCCACGAGGGCCAGCAGAAACGCTTCTGCAACTCCACCTGCCTCGGCAGCTACAAGAAGGTGAGGGGCTGCAGGGTGCCCGCCTCCCTGGCCCGAGGCTTTTCACTGGCTCGGTGCAGGGCGCCCCTCTGCTGTGGCAGCAACGCCAGGCCCCTCAGGTGCCCAGGGGCTCCCTTGAGCGCACACCCCGGGAGGTGCTCTGAGCCTACCCCTGCTGCTAGGGCGGCAGTTCCCCAGGTCTGGCCCAGGGCCTGGGGGCCGGCTGGAGAAATCGGTCGCTAGCCCAGTGAGGCTGGCTGTCAGGGCACAGAACTGGCTCCTTGTGGTGGCAAGCACGCCCAGAGCTAGTTCTAGTCAGCTGTGCTACACCGTGCTCCCGGCGAGGGGCCTCTTCTGCATCTAGCCATGGGTGCCCCAGGCTAGCATGGCCCCCGCGGATTTCCTGGAGGGTACAGGAGAGTGTGGCCTGCTCTCGGGCTTTGCCAGCAGCTGCCAGGGCCTGTGACCTGAGGGGAGCAGAGTCCAAGCTTGGCATCCCTGTTGCATGCTCCTGCGAGCCCCGGCGGGAGAGCTGCCTTTGGGGCAGGGAAGAGGCTAGGGGTGAGGGTGGGCTAGGGCCAGCCAGGACGTGGCGTGGAGGGAAGCAGGATTCGAGCGCTGTGCGTTGTGCCCGCAGAAGAATACCCGCGTGTACCCCTGCATGTGGTGCAAGACGCTGTGTAAGAACTTTGACATGCTGCCCAACGTGGACCGGAACGGCAAGATGGGTCTGTTCTGCTCCATCTGCTGCACCACCTCGCACAAAGTGAAGCAGTCGGGCCTGACGGGTAAGAGCGTGCCAGCCCCACACCCAGTGTCACTGCCCTGGGGTCCGTCGGCGGGAGGTGCAGAGCGGAGGGCATGTGGTGCAAGACGCTGTGTAAGAACTTTGACATGCTGCCCAACGTGGACCGGAACGGCAAGATGGGTCTGTTCTGCTCCATCTGCTGCACCACCTCGCACAAAGTGAAGCAGTCGGGCCTGACGGGTAAGAGCGTGCCAGCCCCACACCCAGTGTCACTGCCCTGGGGTCCGTCGGCGGGAGGTGCAGAGCGGAGGGGGCGGCCATTGTGCCCGCAGAAGAATACCCGCGTGTACCCCTGCATGTGGTGCAAGACGCTGTGTAAGAACTTTGACATGCTGCCCAACGTGGACCGGAACGGCAAGATGGGTCTGTTCTGCTCCATCTGCTGCACCACCTCGCACAAAGTGAAGCAGTCGGGCCTGACGGGTAAGAGCGTGCCAGCCCCACACCCAGTGTCACTGCCCTGGGGTCCGTCGGCGGGAGGTGCAGAGCGGAGGTGGCGCCAACAGACCCAGGGCACCGGTGGCGGCTCATGCAGACTGGGCTCCCGGGCAGCAGAGTCCTGGGTGAGTCCGGGCTGGGCTCCCCGCTGGGGCTGCTATGGCCTGCCTGTCCCGAGGCGACATTTCTGCCCTGGCCAAGCCCGGCATTGCCCCAGGTGTCGAGAGTGGGTGGGAACAGCCCCCCTTCCGTGCTGCTGCCACCGCTGGCTGTGCTGTCTCGCTAGGTCCCGCAAGACCCTGCAGCTTCTGCAGGAAGAGCCTGTCTGAGCCCTGCTATTACAACAAGGCTGACCGGGTCGTGTACCAGTTCTGCAGCCCCAGCTGCTGGACCAAATTCCAGGTACTGAAACGTTCTTCCTGTCAGGGCGGGGTCCGGAGCCCCCTCCTCTCCCAGCAGAGGGCCCCGGGAGGCAGGGGCTGCTCCCGAGAACTCTCTGGCTCAGTGCAGGGGTAGCACTGGTTGTTGGCTCCGGCGCGTGAGCCTGTGCCAGCTGCAGTGCTGAGAGTGCGACTGGCTGGGCGGGCGCGGGGCGGGGGGGGCGCCTGGCTCCCCCCCCGGT